AATGCTATTATAATGACACACTTTGTCATGGGGTCAATACCTATTCATAGAGGCTAAATGATAGAGTCAGGAGCCCTGGTGGTACAGTGGTGAAGCACAGGATTATATGCAGCTCCACTGGAGAAGATGGCGGTTCCTTGTCACTTACAGCCTCCCAAGAACCTATCAGTCAGCTTTGAGTTGGCTCCCACATAGCAGCAGTGAATTTTGAATAATACATTGTTTTGCTTAATTTAATTTAATTCAAGAATGTCTGCCTTTTGGGGATGGGGGCTTTATCTAATGGGATTGCACTGTTGGATAGGAATCTTAAAGGCGATGAGCTTGTGTTAACAGAGGAGGAACAACTCAGGAAAGAAGAGAGAGAATGGTTGGACAGCTTGACAAACACAATAATTGTCATTGAACCATATGCGTAGAATTGGTATATATTTTTACTGCATGTATTTTCAGCAACAAAAAAATTATTTTAAAAGATTGATTTCTTGCCTTTTTTCTACCTGTGAAAGCATTTGTTGTCGTTAAGTGCTGTCGAGTTGCAGGCGACTCATAGCGACCCTATGAAGGAGAGTCCTCGACGCTTGGGTGCCTTTCATTCTCTCTCCATGTTCATAGGGTTTCCAGAGGCAAGCTATTATGGAAGTGGATGCCACTCCTTTTTCCAAGCTTGTTTTCATCGGGGAGCTCCACCCCACTCTCTGTCCGCATTGGGTAGCCAACCATTAATGCATTTGACACATCAGTGTCACAGATGAAAGCAGTAGATATTTAAAATACTTTAGAAAGACCTTGAGTTGTGAGACAGTTATTTTAAAAGGTTAATTTGTTAGTATTTTTTAAAGACCTCAGGTTATGAGAATCAAGAACCATAGGAAGGAACTTCTCTGTAAGCACTGTTAACAGATGGTCTTATAGACCAAGTTTTGCTCTTCTGTACCTCCTTTGTTTATTTTCACTGTGTTCATTCAGAAAGGAGTAAGAAAGGAATTTTTTCATCAGATTTATATGATAATTTTTCATCAGGCAACACAGATTGTATACATTGAGGACTCGCATGTTTCAATGTCTGTCTCCCCTACAGAAAACCGCCTAATTCCCACCGAGTTACGTCAGGAGGCACTAGCTTTACAGGGATCCCTGGAATTTGATGACGCTGGTGGTGAAGGTAACTGTGCATGGCCCTCTCCAGCCTGTGACTCCACTTGTCTCAGTGCTCTAGCCTCACAGATCAGGCTTGGCACTTTCCTACCTTGGAAGAGCTCTGCTGTTCAGGTTATAAGCTCCTGAGACTTTTGACAAATGGTCTTGTGTCTCTGAGCCTCACTCCTCAAAGAGGCTCTTCTGGCCTCTCCCAACTCCGTTTGAATGGCATGGATAATGCCATTATATAGCTATTGCTGTGCTTTTCCTGTTAATCTTCCCCACTAGAAAATGAGCTCTGCAGAGATTAGACAGTGTGCATTTTGTTCACTGTGTCTCGAGCCCATCCTTGGCTCCCAAATACTCTATTCTTTTAGTCAACAAATATGAAGGAAATCATTAACACTAATATTGAGGAACAAGAACTTATATCACTGCTCTTAGCAGAATCTGGACTTGACCAATTAATTTCCTCAGTTGCATTGGCCACATATATTTTAAAAATTTTTATTTTTTATTGGTTTGCTTATAGAGTTCATATACATCGTATACCACATTTATCTTTCATTCACATTATGTTTCTTACAATCATTCCAATTCATTATATTTTATAAAATTAATCAACACTGAACTATGGCCGCCATTGCCCTGTCTTTCCAGCTCCCCACCAGATCTTTCCTATTTCCTTTACCCACCCCTCCCTCCATCCATCAAATTGTGCTACCCTATAATTTACCCCCTTCCCATCTTCAACCCTCTGTTCCCTCATGCCCTCCCCCCTTGGATCCTCATATACATTTTACTAGTTATCTTTCTAATACAGATATTTCAAATATCTACAGTCTCTTACAGTATTTGTCGTTATTGGACTGAGTTCACTCAGCATAATGCTCTTTAGTCCCTCCAAAGTAATATAGTAATTTTCAAAATCATTACTTCTCCATTCTGTGTAACATTCCATTATGTGAATGTACCACAACTTCTCAATTCATTTAGTTGTGGTTGGACATTTGGGCTGTTTTCATGTTCTTGCAATAGTGAATAATGCTGCTATGAACATTGGTGTAAAATCTCCATTTGTGTCTTCGTCCTAATTTTCTCAGGGTATATTCCAAGCAGTGGAATAGATGGTTCATATGGAATTTCTCTGTTCAGCTTTTTTTTGAGGAAATTCCAAACTGCTTTCAGGAGTTTTGTACCATTTTACAATCCCATCAACAATGTATGAGAGTTCCTATCTCTCCAGTCTCTCCATATCCTCTCCAACATTTATTGTTTACTGTCCTGTTAAACTTTCATTGGCCACATTTTAAATGCTTGTTTGCCTCCTCTGGCTAGTGGATGCTTGTTTTTTACAAGTATGGGTCATTTCCATCATTGAAAGTTTTGTGCAGCAGCATTGTTTGACATAGTTTCAGCCCATCCTTGAATTAGCATTTCACTTCCTAATACCAGTTTCTCAAGCATGCTTCTCACAGGTGTGACCAGCCACGTGGATGATGAGTATCGCTGGGCAGGCGTCGAAGATCCCAAGATCATGATCACCACCTCCAGAGACCCTAGTTCTCGCCTCAAGATGTTTGCAAAGGTACTGTTTGGTGGGGAGATGTTGTGTACTGTCGAGTCAGAACAACTCACAGCTGAGCCTTCAGCAAGTTTTCAGAAACTGCGTATTGCAGGGAGGAGACCAGCCCATTTTTCTTCTGCAGAGCCGCTAGTAGACTTGTACCACATGCATTTGGGTTGGCAGTGCAGCTTCTTAACACTAGGCCACCAGAGGCATTAAGACAAGAGAGCACTGAGTAGGTTTTTACCCATCTGTTGTTGGGAGAGACCTGACAGGAGTGTTGGTGTGCAGGAACTGAAGCTCGTGTTCCCAGGTGCACAGCGTATGAACCGAGGCCGGCATGAGGTGGGTGCCCTGGTGCAAGCCTGCAAAGCCAATGGAGTCACCGACCTGCTAGTTGTTCATGAGCACCGGGGCACACCTGGTGAGTCTTGGTAGGAAGGAGGGAAAGGGGACTGTGAGGGCAGACAAGGTCTTTGACAGCTCATTCCCCCTCCCCCGCCCCACAGTGGGTTTTATTGTCAGCCATCTGCCCTTTGGCCCCACTGCATACTTCACACTTTGCAACGTCGTCATGCGACATGATATCCCTGACCTGGGCACCATGTCAGAAGCCAAGCCTCACCTCATCATGCATGGCTTTTCCTCCCGTCTGGGCAAGCGGGTGAGTCTGGAAGCTGTGAGGGTGGAGGGTAGGCTTGGCCCAGTGTTCACCACTTTTCATTCTCTTTGTCTCAGGTCTCCGACATCCTTCGATACCTATTCCCTGTGCCCAAAGATGACAGCCACAGAGTCATTACCTTTGCAAATCAGGATGACTACATCTCTTTCCGGTGTGTTAATGTGCTGGGTTCCTACTTATGATGGTTTTTACTTTTGTGAGCCTTACTGACCTAGAGCTGCTTCCCTAGGCACCATGTCTACAAGAAGGTGGACCACCGCAACGTGGGGCTCACTGAAGTTGGACCTCGCTTTGAACTCAAGCGTGAGTTTGGGACTCAATCCTACATCTCTGGGAGGGAGGAGTTGGCTGAGTGAGCATCCTTTCCCTTTTTCTTTCCAGTGTACATGATCCGCCTGGGTACACTGGAACAGGAGGCCACAGCCGATGTTGAGTGGCGTTGGCACCCGTACATGAACACTGCACGTAAGAGGGTCTTCTTAAGTACCGAGTGAGTCCTGAACCCCGCTCTTTGGTCAGGAAAATATACTCGGAACCCAAAAGGTGGCATTGTTAAAGACCCTTGAAGATGAAGATACAGATTCTGTAGGAGGAGTCAAAATAAATTCTCTTTTGTCATGTTATTCTGGTCTACCTCTGAATGGATTGGGACAGGACCCTGTTGTGGTTAAGTGAGTACAACTCACAACAACAGATTTGAACCCTATTCAGTCCTGTTCCGTCTTTATCATCCTGAACACATTTGAGCCCTTTGCCAAAGACATTATATTAGTCCTTACCGAGAGTCTTCCTCTCCTTCACTGACCCTTCACATTTCTAAGCATGATGTTCCTTTCCAGGGAATAGCCTCTCCTAACAATACATCTGAAGTATGAAGCTTTGGCATCCTTGCCCCCAGGGAGTACTGTAGTTGCACTTTCTCCAGGATTTACCTGTTTGTTCTTTTGGCGGTCCATAGGATATTCAGCACACTTTCACACAACTGAAATTAATTGATTCTTCACCTATCATCCTTCTTCATTGTTCAGCTCTCAGGTGCATAGCAGGTGATTGGAAAAACTGTGGGTTGAATTGGGTGCACCTTAGTCTTTAATCTGACAACATTGCTCTTTGAGGGTCTTTGGAAAGATCCCTGACAACAGCTTTTTCCAATGCTATGTGTCTCCTGATCTTCTGACAGCTGGTACCAATGGTGTTAATTGTGGAACCAAGTAAGGTGAAATAGTTGACAGTTTGAATCTTCTCTCCATCTATCATGTGTTGTCTATTAGTGAGGACCGTTAGTTTCTTGATGTTGAGATATAATCCATTTTGAAGGCTGTAGTCCTTGATATTCTTCAGCAAGCACCTCATGTCTTCCTTGCCGCAGGTTGTTGATAAGTCTTCCAGAGCCCTGGACCAGGCTAATTCTAAAGAATGAGTCTGGTGCATCACCCTAGAATATGAGAGCCACAAAGGATGTAGACATTCAGTCCATGATTCAGGCTGATGTTTAAAATAAAGTGAATACTATAGGCTTGATACTGCAAGATTGCCCTGTAGCCACAGGTAGAGTAGGAGGGCCTGGTGCCACCCCTCAGAGGTTTCGATTCTCATCTCACTTTAGGAGTCATGGGCCCTGTGAGAGTAGGTAGGACCTTGCTCTGCCTGACATATTTGTGGTTGGTGACCAAAGCAGAGTGGGATGTGGTCCAATTTATGCTCTGCATGTCGCTTCTGAAGTGACAGGACAGCTGAGACATGGTTTGCTTTTTCCTTAAAACCTCTAGGTGTACCTTCTCTTTATTCAATGGAGGTACAGTCAGGGGCCACTCATTACTCACTTTCGAAACTTTTCGCTTCTGAGATTTCTGTCAGAGGTCACACAAGAAATGGCAGTGCCTCTCAGGAGAGACTTGGGGCCTCTGGTCCTCACATTTCTTGTCTTTGCGATCACCTTTCTTCCCTTTGTTCACATTCCTTGTATGTGTCTCAGGGCCTACTTTGACCAAATGGATTTCAAGACCTTGCAAACTTTTCAGAATGAAGTGATAAAAATACAAAATAAATATATATATCTCATTAAGTGTGATTGTTTTTGTTGTGTATCATAGAATCGGAACCGACCCAAAGCTGACCCTCCAGCGGGTTTTCAGAGGCAGTTAATCACATGGGAGGAGATTTCCCAACCTTCTCCTGTAGTGCAGCTGGTTGCCTTGAACCTGCCTTTGGGAATAGAACACAGCTTCTTGATATTAGACCACCAGAGGAAGAAAAAGATGAGTGGGTGGTGGAAATGAGGAGTAAGGAAAGGGTCTGCACAGAGAGTTGAGTGATGTGGTGGAAGAGACAGGTAGGGCTCTGGGGGCCATCGCATCCAGGAAGGATCAGAGATCCAGCCTGATTCTGTGACTTTTGGCTACACTTAGTCCAATGTGTGTAGAGTGGTCCATGACCTCAAGTTCCCGTAGCTTTACTTCATCTTCATTAAAAGTTATGCCCTGGGGAAAGTTAATTGTGAAGGAAAAGGTCTGGTGGATCTCCCTCAGGTATGGACTTATATAGGACCTCTGGTGGCCTAGTGGCAAGAAGATGCACTGCAATCATGAAGGCATGTGGTTTGAGGCCATCAGCTGCTGCTCGGGAGAAGGGTGGGCAGTCTCAGCCTGTGTTATTAAGTGCCTCTGAAAACCTGCTAGAGTGTCAGCTATGGGTCAGTTTTGACTCTGTGGTACACAGCAACAACAATATAAAAGTATATAACTTTTTTCTGTAAAATAAGGATATTTCTAGACATAAAAGTAGGATAGACAGAAACGTTATTTACCATTATAAGAATATGAAAAAAATAAACAGCCCAGTTGGACAACTACAACTGAATGGATTGAGAAATTGTGGTACATTCACACAAACAATGGAATGCTATGAAACACTTGGACAACAATTTCAAAAAATACTACACGGGGAGCTCTGGTGGCCTAGTGGAAAGGAGCTGCAACTACAATCCCAGAGGAGCACGGTTCGAATCCACCAGATGCTCTGCTGGGGAAGGAGGGACAATCTCCTCCTGTACCAGTCAGATCTGATTTGATGGTACACTCACACAAAAATAATAAAAAATTAAAAAAAAAATACTACACACCTTGGGAGAGACTAGAGAGCATTATGCTGAGTGAACTAATTCAGTCTCATAAGGACAAATACTGCATAAGATGTAAAAATACAAGGATAAGTAGTAAACCATGTATGGGGACCAAAGTGGGTGGGGCAGGGGTGGAAACAGGGATGAGGATGGATAGGGGCAAAACCACAAGGTTGCACAATTTGGTGGGTGGAGGAAGGGGACCTGAAGATGGTAATGATGGTCCTGGTCCACTCGTGGTTAATATTTTTTATAATGTGTGGGAATGATTATATGAAACAATATGAATGAAGAATACTGAAGCATAATGTATATGAACTTTGTAAGCAAACCAATATAAAATTTAAAAAAAAAATGGGAAGGATGTAGTGCCCTATAAATGCCTCTCTCTCCGTGTGTGTGTGTGTGTGTGTGTGTGTGTGTGTGTGTGTGTGTATTTGCTGACGATTGTCCACAAACCTGAGAAAACTGCAAAATTTTGTTTCACAGCTCTGGGGGCCAGGCATCTTAAATTAAGGTGTCTATAGGCCTATGTGAAGTTGTGGTGTCATAGTGGTTTAATTACTTGGCTACTAACCTCAAGGTCGGTAATCCAAACCCATCAGCTGATCGGAGGAATAAAAATCCATTAGTCGGCTTTCATAAAGTCACAGCATTAGAAACACTTTGGGGGTTATATTCTACTCTATAGGGTCACTTTTGTTAGTCTGGGCTGTACTTCCTAACTGCTCTAGGAGAAAATGTCCATTTCTCAGCTTCCTGGTGATTACCAGTGACCCTTTGCATTCGTGGTCTTTTAAAAAAAATTTTAATGAAAGTCATCAGAACAGAGCAAGGAGACACTACATGGTTCAAAATCAAGAAGGGGGTCCGTCAGGGATGTATTTTGTCTCCATACCTTTTCAATCTGTATGCAGAACAGATCATTTGAGACGCTGGGCTGTATGAGAGGAATGTGGCATTAGGATTGGTG